CGGTCTCCGGCTACCGGACGGAGCAGATTATACAGTTTGCTCATCGACGGCTGTCCACGGTGGCCATCGGTGGCGTCACATGTATACTCATTTCCATATTTGTATTCCCTGCATGGGCCGGAGAAGATCTTCAGAACCTTATCGCTCTAAATATCGAAAAGCTTGGAAGGTCCTTAGAAGGTTAATTACCTAAACACTACCTGAGTGTGGTACTTAGTAAATTAAAACTAGCTTTGTGATCCTAAACTATAAAAGAACTGATAAATCATGCCAAGCTAATCTGTCCATAATTAACTGACTTAAGTAAAAAAAAACCAATAACTCACTCTTATTAGGAGTCAAATTTGAATACAAGTCACCATTTTTTTTTAATTAAACTACAAGGTATCCTGAATATGTCGTAACACTATAGTATCATACTCAGATTAATTCATGTTAGCACCAAGCCCATAGTATCATACTCAGATTAATTCATGTTAGCACCAAGCCCACTCAATTAAGTAGCAAGTCACCAATTTGTATGTGTATTTATTATGGTTAGTTTGACTTCTTGTCAGGTTTTGGAAGTGCATATTTTAGGCTTCCTGAAGCTGAAGGTGAAGACAGTGGGTGTTCAAAAGCATTATTTCCACAAGACTATAAATCTGCATTCAATTCTAAAGCCTATGAAAATTCTTTGGTAAGAAATGCAAACACATATATATAATAGGAGTAACTTCTATAGACACACTGCTGGAAATTATGGAATTTCCGACCACCTGAAAGTGATTTTAAATAAGTTGAAAGCAAAAAGTGGTGGTCGGAAATAGCAACAAAGGTTTTTCCAGATACCAAAAGTGGTCGGAACAAGGCTATTGACTTGATTTAAGATCACTTTTAGGTGGTCGGAAATTCCATAATTTCCAACAGTGACAATTGATTTGACAATTATAAGATTTCAAGTTGTTATGTAGAATTCTCTATAAAATTAGAATGTTAGCCAATTAGCTATAAGCAACCTGCTATGCTGGTTTATCTTGTAACAAGACAAGATTTATCAGAACATACTTTCAAATAGGGATGGCGAGTTTTATTATGAATCCTATTACACAGTATAGGACCTATATATCTATAGGTACATACTAATTATTATATTGAATATGCAGGCAACTTGTGCAGGGTGGGAATTTGGTCATGGCGAGTTCAAATTTGGTCATCCATGGGAGCAATACTTGAAAGTTGGAGGTCTTGCCAGGGAATGTGCTTCCCATCTTCAAGCACTCTGCGGTTACCTGAACGCCGCCGCCGACGATGATCGGAAAATGCAGACATTATTAAGCTTCAAGAGCAAAATTCAAGGGCCATGCACAAGAATGTGCTCGGAATCTAGCCAAGCTCTGAGAGATATATCTTCAGCCATGAAAACCATGGCGCAGCCGTCGCCGGAGATCCAAGACCACCTACGAAACTCCCGAGCAGCCATTAATGATCTGGAGGTCGTGTTTGGGAGCTCGTCATTGTCGACGACGGAGATGCTCTTCGAGATCATACCTTGCGCTGCGGTTACGTCTATACTGATCGACATTGTTAATTGCGTGGATAAGATCTCGAAATCCGTCGACGAGCTCTCGGAAAAAGCTGGTTTCAAGAAACCAAAGGCGAAATCTCCTGAGGCGGCGGAGCAACCACCGCAACAACAATTGCTCCACCGCGGAATTGTGACGCCTGTTAATGAAGATTCCCCGGAGGCTGTTACAATAGATGAAACGCCTCAAGATTCCCCGGAATTTGATAATTTGCAAGGAGCGACACATGAACAAAAATCCCAAGAATTAATTACAGATGTAAAGACAGGGTAAAACTTGTTTAATTTTACTGTCACTAAATAACTACTGTATATAATATATATTCTGGCCACCTATGTGTGATACTTATTGTTAAAATTAAATTTTTATGTCAAAAATTAGAATAGTAGCCAAGGGTTGTGAGTTGTGACAACTTTAAAATGTGTGTGTATATATATGGGCTATGGATCCGGTGAGAACACTTTCATAGTAGAGAAATAAGAACCAATTTTCGTTTTATATCCGTAAAAATTCAACGGATCTGATCAATTTTTTTTTTTTTTTTAAAAAGCGCGGTAACAGTTTCGTAATTATCTTCAACTCCACTGTGCAAACTGTAACACTTAGCAATCTTCAACAACTAAATATGCAAACCTGGTAAATTCTATAAAATCAACGAAAAAGCTAAATTTTAAATCTAAATTGTAAATGTTAGATCTTAAACAGTAAAAAGTGAACGACTGAACCAAATAAAATAAAAAAACTCAGTCATAAAACTCTAAATTTGAACCTTAATTTCAATGTACTTTGGCATTTTTGCAAGTGCAAACTTTTAATACTAAATATGCAAAATGTTAACACTAAATGTACAAAACGTTAATACTAAATGTGTCATTGCGTTTGCATAGTAAAGTTTGTGATAATTAAGAAACTGTCACTGCGTTTTTTTTAAATCTGATCTGGTGCGCTCAAATTTTCCAAATGTAAGGTTGTGATTAGTTCTTAGTTTTCTCCTACAAACTTGTTCTCATTTGATCCGTTATAATCAAACTTGATCATGTACAAGAATCATTCTTCATTACTCAATTATTCTTTACAAGAGCATACACAATTAGCTTTTCTAGTAGGTCAAGATAAGTGGTCCTGTTTGGTAACATAGTTAACTTATCAGTCAATTTTGGTTCATTTGACCACTATTAATTGTTTGAATTGGTTAAACAATCAATATTAATGTTTGATTAATTTGCTTTTTGTAATAACTTATTGCTTCAAAATGTTAAAATTCGATCAACTTTTTCAATAAGTTTTTTGAAAAAGTAATTTTTCATATAATCAACTATCAGCTAACAATTAACTTACCAAACATTTTTTTACAATCAAATAATGTTATCAACTAATCAAATCCATTAATTCAATCAGCTAACAACTATTTACCAAACATCTAAAATCAAATTATTAACACAGCTTAGGGGGGTTCATAATTGATAATCCACTAAGGAATATATTAGCTAATAATTAGCTAATAATTGATTAAAACTGGGTAGCTAGCTAGTAGAATACAAGTTGCTAAAAATATCCCAACATTGTTGCCCAAACCATAATTCGTACGATGTTGTGGGCAGACCATAGCCATGCATTTTCCTTTGACTTGCTTGCATTTTTCTAGTATTAAATTAAGCAACCCGTATTGAATTTCACATTCATAATGTCAACTAATTATTTATTCCTTAGTGGATTATGAACCCGGTCTAATTAAGCTCACTGGATTTCCTTTCTTGAGAAGTTTTCTTAATATTTTTTTTCTTTTCTTTTTTTCTTTTGAGAAATTGTGACAGAGAGGAAAGAAGTAAAAAATATTACTTTTAAGAGAAAATACAATTTTGATATCAAAGATCTTGTGTTTTAATAGCACTACATTACTCTACCATATAGGAAGTTGTAGGTTCGATCTTAAGTGGAGGCCAAGAAAATCTTAACTGACTAGATTTATAAATAAATATTTTCCTCATTTTTCTCATTTTTTCTCTAGATAGCACTCCAAGTTGATACTTAGTTCCACATTTTAGCGGCTAGAAATGCAAACCACTAATGTCCACTATGATGTTTTTTTCAATTTACTATTAATTTAAATATTTAATATAATGAAGATCAATAGTTTATATATATATATATATATATATATATATATATATATATATATATACTTTTTTTTTTTACATTTCTAGTCTTCTAGCAGCCACTGAATAGTGGATTGAATTGTAATTTGAGAGCCAAGCACATTGTGTTTAGATGGTACCTCTGTGGCTCCTTTTGAAGAAATGTCATAGGATCGAATTTCAGTGGTGAGTCTTGACTCTTTGGCTTGCAATTGATAGAGAAAGTAGCTAGTATAGAACGGATACTACCTTGTAATAGAATCAATAGTACTCAAAAAAAATTGTAATTTGGGTGAAAGAAATATAAATAGGAGGTAAAATGCTATTATTAGTTTTCGTCAAATAATTTTTATAAAGAATAATTGTAAATTCATAAACTAAATTCATTATTATAAGTATCTTATAATTGAGAGATAAAAAATATAATCTTGGCCCCAAGGCACTGGTACAATGATTTAGAAATTTCACTTAAAGTTAAAACATGCTTTCGATAATAGGGTGGGGATTTAATTCTTGTCAAGAACATAAAAGATTTGAGTTTGGTTGAATTTATTGTGCATAAATATGTACAGTTTTGTGTTGAGTCTCGAAACTATATTTGCTGAGTTTTCTTACTTTTAATTATGTAGTCTGCAAATGTGTATTATGAACATGAATTCTATGTGGTCTGCAAATATGTATTATGAACATGAATTCAGTGTATTGAATCAGGGTCCACAGTGCACTCTAGACCCTGGTCCACGATATAACAATTGCTATTATCGTAGACATGAGCAGAACAATGCAGCTATAGCTAGTTTATTAGCCAAAATGCTGCTAGAAATCATAAAGTGGTCGGAAAGTGCTAATTTTCAATTGGAAACCTTAGACCCTGGTCCACGATATACCGATTGCTATTATCGTAGACATGAGCAGAACAATGCAGCTATAGCTAGTTTATTAGCCAAAATGCTGCTAGAAATCATAAAGTGGTCGGAAAGTGCTATTTTTCGGTTGGAAACCTCTGTTCCAACCACTTGTGGTATCTCTAAAAATCTCCATTGCTGTTTTCAATCACTGCATGAGGTGGTCAGAAATAGAGTCCACTAATATAAAGTGGTCAAAAAACTTGGTTGCCAGTTTCTTCTATGTAAAATATAGAAGAATATGCTCTGATGAGTCACGGTCCAAATGTAGATTGAAACTGTTAAATGGAACAGAATCTCTAAAAATGTATAACAGACCTGTCACACGGGTCAAAATCTCTTAAAACGACATTTCATCTTAAAGTAGTTTAGAGTTTTAAACAATGCATATCTGATACCATCAAATAGTGATTGCGAGTTTCTCCCGTCATCCAAAGCAAATTTTCATAGCACATTTAATCGTGCTGTGGGCTGTGGGCTGTGGGTGCTAACATAGCATTTCATTTGATTTTGATATATAGTTTTCTTTGCCTAAATTGTACAACCAGTACACAATTACAGGACACGGGTATCAACAACCTAAACTACAAAGCATATTATTCAAGTGGCATGGTGTATATCTATGATACACAACACGAAAAATTAATCTACAGCTCATTTATATATGTACCTACCTACCAGGTATACACTGGGTTTTCCACTTCAGGGGGCAAAAGATGGAGATCGTTAGAATGTTCTTTGCTATAGTCCCGCGTACCTGGAATAGCACCAGTGCACAACCTCAGAAACTCATTCCCCGTGAGACAATAATGGGCGAATGCCAAGCTACCATCGACCATTTCTCCCAGGTTGGGCATGGAAGTTGATTTCACAATGCCCTTCTGGTTTCTTCTGTCTAGAAGCGTTTCGTTGTTCAAGATCTTGTCGAGGTCAGAAAATTCTAGGAATCTTTGCGTGGCAGCCTCCCATGAGAGCTTATATCTCTGCTCGGGGGTAAGAGGCTGAGGCTCGCTGGACATTGCTTCTTTAATTTTGGCTACAAACTCTTCTGGTGACTTGTATGTCAAGCAGTTGGGGAATGCCCTGAAAAACTCATTTGATGGGTGGTCGGCACAAACAACAAATTTACCCATGGCAAGAGCCTCAGCTGTTGCGGTGCACAGCACATCGCTTACACTGGGATTTATAAAGACCTTGTAACTGCAAGCAGAAATGGTGTAAATTAGAACAGGTAAAAGAAGGCACTCAAGAAAAAAGTTAGTAGCTATGACTAAGCATCATTCATGCATGGAGAACAAATTCATAATTCATTAAATCATTCCATTTTTATGCGTGTGGATAAGTGATAACCTGAGTCACTTAATGTCTCTATAGCTATGATTGCACCATAACTGAAGAAGACAATTAACAAATTTATGTATTGCCTTAATATTATACAAGGTTCTGTATGATATCTTACCCGTGAAGAGAATCATCAGCATGGTCTCTGCCTTTCATAAAGTTGACATTTAGATTCAACCGTTTAGCTGCGTTCTGAACTTCATGAGCATCTTCCCCGTTTCCAAAAGCATCCAAGTTGAAGCCGTCGAGATCCTTTTTCTGCTTTGATAGGAGATCAATCAACTCTCTGTACCCCTTTGCCCAAACCATCTTGCCTAAGAAATATGCTCCTTTTGAGAAAACCTGCTCTCCACGTTCCCGGTCAGCAGCAATTTTATCACCAATCTTCAGAAACTTTGGATTGACACCATGAACATTGCATATAGTGGACTTTGGTAAATCTTGTGTTGCAGCAGAAAGGCGGAGAACCTAATTGGCAAAAAAGTCATTTTAAGTGATTATTCTTTATAGAATATGTTTAATAACCTGTTATGGAATTATGCAATGAATGCCAACAAATTTGGGTTACAGCATCACCTTGTGACAGTACACTCTTGTGACCCAATTATTTATATGTTTAACAAAGAAAGCTTGCAGAGCCCCATTCTTCTCTCTCTTGATATACTCCAAGTAATTTGTGTGAACAATACCGACCACATGGTTAAATTTATCAGTCCAGCGTTTACCGTGATGGTACCAGTTGAGATGTTCTGGCTCCTCCAAGATTGCAATATCAGCATCCTTTGATGGAATGAACTGAGTAGTATCTCCAGCAGGTATTATACTCCGCCTTGATTTTGAGAACTTTATGAGGAAAAAAAACATTAAGTCATAACATTCACATGATTCGTGGCTTAGAACGGTATAACCCAGCAAATTCATCAGGAACTAACCTTTGCAGGATAAAATGAGATCTTGAAATTGGTCTTAAAACCAATCCTCTCCTCAAGCCAGTTGCGCATATAATTTTCCTGCTCTTCTGCTGAGCTAAACGTGAGATTGTTCGGATAAACCAGCTCTTGGTCAGATTTACAAAGCCATGGAACCAACAATGTAACATTCTGCTTCGCAGTGTTGGCCAAATAAGCAGCTCGGAACAGTGGGTTTACAGCTGTTCCAGTCATCCAAGGAAGGCTAGCAGTTGTGATTATGGATACATGCCTTTTACCATCTGAATGGTTCTTTTTTGTTGAATCAGTCCAAAAGCCACCTTCATAAGAATGACCCGTACTTTGTAGAACAGTGGCAATTCTTAAATCCAGTTCATCAGAAATACTATCACTTGCAACGATTAAGGACTCTCCTTCAGGTAAAGACTGCAACATCTGGTTCTTGCGTTTACTGACTAAATTCTCCACTATCTTGTCTGATATTTCTGCCACAGTGCCATCAAATCAAACACTCAGAATGCTGGCATGGCAAAGACAAGGAACACAATCCAGAATTACCATAAAAGAAAGACTAAAATTGAGAAGTAAATGTGTACCTCTTCTAATTCCAAGCTGATCCAAAAAGGGGCTGGACTGTCTTACCAAATACGCCAACAATTCTGGCACATCCAATGGTGGCACTTCCTGCATAATGTGAACTCCAGGGTAAGGAGAGACGAGTCTACTGCAATCAACTTTAATAAGTGAAAGCAAGGTATTAAAGTGTAAGATCCAAATCCTTGTTTGGCCTGCAGTTTATTGCCTCTTCTACTCCAAGACACATAAGAGGATGTTTGCCTCTTTCTGAGAAGTCCCAGTTAGAGTTTTTTTTTTTTTTTTTTTTTTTTTTATATATATAAATAAAGCTCTTTTGGATTAGCACCGACTTTTTTATGAAACTTTTGGCCTGTTTAGTAGCATGGAAATTTTTCCACTTTCCAACTCCATTTTTCCACTTTTCCATTCTCCAAAAGTGGGCCAACTTGGAGATTCACAAATGTTTTCTAAAGCCTATATTCAGAGAAGCTATTTTTAAAATATTTGCCTTTTATCCACTTGGTTGAAGCAAGCACCAAATTGTGCAGGCTCATGTGCTCACTAGTTGTACTCAATTTACAATATTGTTACCCTTGTAAGATAAAGATGTCAATGCTGACTCAAACTGGAGTATATAGTTCAAGAACTGCAAAAACAGATTGGTCATCTTTTATACACAAGAGGATTCATCAATTGATTGCTCTAGCCTCTAGGGTACAACTCTTAAAAGATCTGGATGCACTAAGGAGTCCATAAAATAATTAAAGAATTTGATCAGAAACAAACCTTTGTTTCCTCTGGCTCCTTGCAAATTGATTTCTGCAGAAATATTAAACAATAAATAAATCACTTCAATCTCGGAGCATAATGTAAGATCAAGTTTCAGATACAGTATATTAGCCACCAGAACTGTGCAGTTACAAATATCAGGATGTATTTTCATAAGAACTGTACAACATCTCCTGAACTTCAATCTGGACAATGCTTTGAAGAAACCAAGTGTGTCCAGGAGTGGTAAGCAGCAGAATAAAATGTATCACAGCAAATGAAGGCAGCATCGGTGGTGATGGCGTAAAGAGAAACTCAGCAATCAATTTGCTAGTGTTCACAGCTTACAAGTAGTCAAGTACGAATGCATATTCAGTTCTTAGGCACCATAAAATCCGAAAATCCAATACTTATTTGTTTGTCCATATAAAATTTATGCAACATTATATATCAACTATACAAGAATCCTTGAAGCTGCTCAAGTTACCTAGGTCCCTAGTTACATATGTAATCAAATTTCTTTGCAAAACCTCTGTAACCTATGAGCTTGGGAATGAAGGCGCACAAGGACGAATCCCATCCATTCTAAAGCTATAGCCCTAGTTAAACCCAAGTGTGACATTCTGTTTCACCACAAAAGTTAATTCAACATTTCAACTGTTTTCATACTGTGACAGGCTAATATGCAATTGTGACACATTACTCCATCGGCAATTGATATCTTAAAAGGAAGAACTTGCTTATACTAAAAAGCGACCTACAAATACCTTGACATGCATCACTTTGTTAAGCCCAAGAGAAAATATTGCCAAACATACTTCCAGCAAAAATATATCCCTAGCATCCCATTTAAGCTTTTATTCCTCCCATATAAAGCTTCAACCACTGCCTCCACAGCACAGACAAACCAGCTTATATTTTATTCTAAGCAAAATTATATAAAAATAAAAATAAGAGCGAGCGAGAGAACAGGACTCTAGAGAATATATTTTTGCAATGGAATTGAACAGGTGGAACAATAATATATACAGTAAATTGAAACCTGGCTGAACTGATTATTAAGCATCCAGCCACAACCTCTATAAATTTGACTATACTGAATCTTACCTAATTTAAGCTACATTATACTAAATCCAGTATATAGAGTCTAGAGTCTGAAAAGATATAGCTTAAAACTCAGGATTGCCGAAATTCCACACATAGCAATCCAACATTGAAAAGTAGGATGAAAAGATTTCATTTTGATAACTAGAAAATAAATGATGTTATACTAGCAAGCAGCAAGAGTAAAAATTAGAGTACTTACCAGACTTGATTTTACTTTCTCTACGAATTCGCTATTCTTAATCCCTTCAAGAATCTCCGCCGGTGAAGAGCTTGTAGTCTTGAGCTCTGCCTCAATCTCCTTACACCGCGTCTGGAAGGCTTTAATTGGCTCCCAACTGGATTCCCCGGAGTGCCCTTCCTCCTTTCCCCCTCCTTCCGTGAACCTCAGCCGCCTCCACGTCCTCCACCTCTCACTTTCGCTGTCCTCCTCCACATCCGGCGCAATCGCGTTCCTAAACGCTGACAAGTCAATCCGAAGCTTCCCTTTCGTGCCCCACTTGAAGTCCGGCGACGAGTACGCCCTCCGAAATTCCGAAATCTTGGGGCGGAGCTTCTTGACGAACTCGATCTCCGCCGGAGTTGAGACAGCCGACGCCGTAACTGTAGGGACAGTAAACGAGGCGGAGTTAATGAAGTGCTCCACCCCCTGGTCGGCAAGTTTGAAGATGGAGTTGGCTCGGTTCCTGAGGAGCTCAAAATCCGCGTCGGCTGAGGTACGCATCTCCCGCAAACCCTTGGAGATGAACGATACGATCGAGGCGGAGCTCGCCGTCCCCGGCGCCGTGGCCCTCGCCTCCGCCGGCTTAATATTAATCATAATCGTTTTCTATTTCCCCACAATCGAATTCCGATGAGATTACCGAAAATTCACTATGAATCGGTAGGGTTCTCGGAGAATTCGAGCTTCAGTTTGGGGGAAAAGAAAACGATACCGGGCGGCTGAGGATTTAACGGCTAGGATTTTTTGTGGCCAATTTTTGCCACTTATTTAGGATTTTCTAATTTGTTTCCTTCCTACGGTCCTGGGCAAGGGAGAGACACGTGGTTGAACACGTAAGATAAGTCCGTGTTGAATAGATTCGCGGGAGATGATGTGGAGCCCTGGAATCTGTTGACGTGTTTTCGTTCACGTGAGGTGGATAACGATGTGGGGCCATGTGGCTTGTACGCATGGGCTAGCTTGTACTTTTCACTTTTCTCCGACGCTTCTTCTCGTCAGTTAGTCATTTTTGTCCCAACTCCTTCAACATTCCACTAGAATATTCTGGAGCCGAGACACGAATATCCAAATCCAACGCCAAAGGTTTTTTCAAGTGATGTAATTTTTTTTTTTTGTCAAATTAAAAAATTAAAGTGGTTTTTTTTTACCAGGACTATGTGGTCTAATGGTACCTGGGTTGAATTTTTATTTGAAAGATTATGAGTTCGAGTCTTAGTGGAGGCGTTATTGGTTTTTTGTGTTTCAGTAGGTTGAGAAAGTATATCAACAGGTACTACAGGTACTACAATTAATAGAACCAATAGCTTTCAAAAAAAGTGGTTTTTTTTTTTTTTTTTTTTAATGTGGAGTAATATTTTTCTTCTGCAATGTTAGGTTTTTTGTGAGTCTTAAATGAGAGAGAAATAGCAGAAAAGCACTTACTTTGTGCACGTTGGGCGCACATTCAACGCCCAACCGGGTGCGTGCAGTGGCGCGTCTTTTGTAGCCTGGAGCCTTTTTTATTTTTATATTAACATAAGGACTTTGTATCTAAAATTTATGTTGAAACATAAGAAACGAAAAATTACGAAATGTGTTAAAACTTAAATATTAAACGACATCGTTTTGATTCAGGGTCCATTATGCTATGTGGACCTTGGTCGACGATATAAATTGCCTATATTTCTTAGCTATAAACTTTTGGAGTTCGGGACCAACATCTTTTCGCATCGCTAATGGGCTCCGTTTCCAAAAGCCCAATAGGCCTCTGTTTTCAATATTGTTGAAATGAGAACCGAATTTCAGCCCAATGGGCCTCTGTTTTCAATATTGTTGAAATGATAACCGAATTACAGCCCAACGTCTATTCTTGGCCCATTGAACCGACAGCCGTCAGCTTCTCACGGCCGCAATGTGACACGTGCGACTGTTCTCTCTTAACGACGAAGAATCCGATTCGGTCATCGGGCACGACTCACGAGATACCCAGGGGCATAACCGTAATTGGGAAGGATGGGATGCCATCCTCGCAAAATGAAAAGTGAAAACATTATTACGCTTCCAATTTCTTCAATTTCTTCTTTTTCTTATTCTTTCGCAATTCATATACTTAACAGGGTAATTCAGATCAGAAGCTGAAGTGGGGAAGATGGGGTTGCTTTCCAACAGGTATGGATTCAATTTTCAATCCTACTTCTTGTAAATTTCTCTTTTTTTTTTTTTTTTTAAACCAGTTTTATCAGTTTATGATTCTGGGTTTACTAATTTCTTGATCGAAACATACACAACAGAGTTGTTAAGAGCAGCCTTAAACCTGGGGATCATATATATTCATGGCGCACAGCTTACATTTACGCTCATCATGGTCTGAACCTCTCTTTCTCTCCCTCTGTGCGCGTGTTTTTTGTGTAGGGTCTTGTGGTTTTGCTATCCTTAGTATCTGATTTTTGCTAAACTGCAAGTAATTGTGAGGAAAAATGACAACTTTTATATGTTAGGAGATTGGCTTGTTCCATTTCCATGGCTGCTTTGCTAATTAGATTTTGCTGCTAAATGAGTATTGATTGCTTGGTAAAAGCTTGATAGGATAAGAATTATTATGAAGATTTGATCTTTTCTTTGTGGGAGATGGTGGTTGTTTGGGGAAGGTAGATTGCAGGGTCCCTTTGAGGAGATGAAATAGAACAATTAGGTAAACCAACCTAGATTACCCCTAATTGACCCGCTTAAATCAAGAAAGTCAATAGGCCAGGAGTTTAACTTGGAACCTTGTGATTACCGAGCCAACGGTCTAACTAACTTGACTGGGATAAATTTATCACAACGTAATTCAGACATAAATAACTGTAAATGGATATGCATTATGAAGTATAGTATATGGATCACCTTGCTCTAAGTCTGAGTTCCTCAATTGCTTTTATGACTGTGTTTCTATAAGTTTATTGTGGCCTGTCCTCTTTTAGAGATCCTGTGCTGATTTTACTTCATCCAGGAAATGTATAAATTTTCCTTCTGGATAGGCAAATTTATGTGGTTGTGATTATAGATGTTTCATTTAGGATTGTGGTTTAGCTTGGAATTGTTCCCCGTTTTCCCCTCATCGATGTTTCTGTTATGATATTCGCTGTCAAATTTTTGAACATCACCAAGAACAAATTTTCAGTCAATTTCAATAGCTGAAATGCCGTTGAACCTCCGTTTTCCTTCATCTAGTTTCTTAGCAATATAATCTTTGGCTATACTGTTATTGACTTATTGTTAAATAGAATTTATCAATTGAAAAGACTAGTCTTTGACAGGTATCTATGTTGGGGATAATAAGGTTATCCACTTCACTAGACACGGTCAAGAAGTGGGAACCGGGACTGTGTTGGATATCCTCTTGGTGAGCTCGGGACCCGCTCGGTCTCGTGTACCTTGTACCGCCTGTACCCCTCTGGGAGATGGTCACGGGGTTAACTTCTCGTGTTTGGACTGCTTCCTTGCTGGCGGTGTTCTGTACCGCTTCGAATATTCAGTCAGCCCTGCTCTCTTTCTTGCAAAGGCGCGGGGAGGGACTTGCTCTCTCGCAGTCTCGGACGAAGATGATGTCGTGGTGCACCGGGCAAACTACCTCCTCCGAAATGGCTTTGGGTGCTACAATGTGTTCAAGAACAACTGCGAAGATTTTGCCATCTACTGCAAGACGGGGCTGCTCGTGCTCGACCAAAGCACGATGGGGCAAAGCGGGCAGGCGGTGTCTATAATTGGCGGCCCTCTGGCGGCCGTTCTGTCCACGCCATTGCGCCTCGTCACCACCAACGTTTACGGGATGGTGGCCATGGCTGTAGGGGTGTACTGCGCCAGCCGCTATGCTGCTGATATTGGCATGCGTGGAGATGTGGTCAAGGTGAGCGTCGAGGATCTTACGAGGCGGCTAGCAACTGGCCTGTATCAGGTTCTTGAACCAAGTCTCCCGGCTTTGCCGGCTCCGGCCGCCACCGGGGCTTTGCCGACTCTGGCCGCCACCGGGAATTTGCCAACTCCGGCCGCCACAACTCCGGTTGCTACCAGCTAGAACTACCATTTAGATTGCATGAAGGGTGGAAACATGTAATATATGCTAAAGAGATTTGCATTGTTGCTTTTAGTATCCTCTATATAATACTATGTGTAATGATTCATTAGTTTCGATAGGACTGGAATCTAAAACCTATTATAACGACAGAAAACAATCTCGGCCGGTATAAACTGTCGAGTTCAAAACTTATAAATTACTCTCTATGTTTCATTTTATATGTTTTGTGTTATTTATATTAAGCATATAACCATAATGTGCAATCCAACTATCAGTTTAGGCTTTTAGTTGAAATGGAGCGCCTCAATTATTTATTGGTCGGATTAATTGTTTTTGTTTGTTTTTTAATAATTTATTAATGGTAAAAGATTTCAAATCTGAATCTAAATATGATCTTCTAGTGCAACCCACCATCATCATAATAATAAACACATAATCTTTAGCAATCAAGGAAATGGGGATTATTACTATCGTTATTATTTTATATTTATAATTATATTTAATTTATGAAAGTGATTAGAGGGCCCCCTTAAATAGTAGAAACAAAAAGCTTTCATGGTCATCATAATTGTTTGCACTCTTAGACTGTGGCAGAAGGAACCAAAAGCCAGCATTGCACCGCCCTACCTTGCAAAAGTTAGTGTCATCATTCAATTTTTATTTTTTTTTTATAAAAATTAAAAAAATATTTTTTGTATAAAATTTTTAACTAATACATTATACATTATAAATATAAATATAAAAGTAAATTATTTGTCCAAACTCGACATGTCAATTTGAGAAGAAGTTTTACAAGCTGGACTAGGAAAAGCACATTTCACCAACTTACCCTAACTAGACAAATGGCATCATCTTTTAAGGTTCACAAAATGCGAATTCCCTCAGGCCAAGAGTCCCCACACACCGACTCATCTTTAGTGGTCTTTTAGATATGAAGACCAATACTCAATGCCAATAAAAAAGTCCATCATATTGGTATAATTCTCACACTTTTAAACTACAACTGTCAACTCTTGATCCTATGTCAATATGACATTGTCACTGCAATCTACCAATATTGAGCTGCTTATGCAGACCTTTAACTATTTTTCATAACAGTACAAAGGGTCCTCTACATTGCACATGAGCACTCCAAAAGTACTATTCTTAGTTTTCCGTGGCACTTATAGCCTAAACTACACACTCTTACACAAATCTTGCTCATCGAATACTTTTGCTCTGAGAGAAACTCCAACTGAGTTAGTCGAACAATTGAATTGATAACCATAAAATTACGTAAAATACACTTTCTCGTAAATCAAAGAATACTTTTGTGCCATCAATATTAAAATTATTTTAATTCAAAGATTAAGAATGGGATGTGAAGGATGCAAAAGATGAAGTATAGCTAGGGACATGATGTACATGGTGTGTCTAGAAGGTGAATGTATCATCCATCCAATATGTAAGTAGAAAAATGAATTATTGGAGTATAATTAATTATTGCATCACATGCAAAGTACCCAAAATTTTTATGTATTTTGTTTTTGGTTTCTTCACGGCCAGCCAAAGGAATGAAAACTTACAAAAGAATACTACCAAACTTTACTTCTAATCTTGTTGAATTGTCTTGTCGACAATAATAAATTTATTTATATTTATATAATTAAGAATATATACGTGTATATTATATACATTTCTCTTTATTAATTAAACAAATTTAAAAATGAAATTTATAAGATTTTGTCTGGGACGAATATAATTAATTAAAATTAAAGTTAAAAAAAGTTTGACTGTTTGTTTGTTCATGGGAGATGCTGCACAAAAGCCAAAGAAAAGAACTATGCATGTGACAAGATGCCACAAAATCTCTATCTTTTTTTCTAAATCCAAAACTTGCTTTTTTAATGCATCTTTATGTCCATTCTATTGTGGATTAATTACTTGCAGTTTTAATCTTTAAAATGGATAAAAGAATTCTCCGTTCTGGTTTGCGTGCTATTACACAAAAACGAAAATTATTTATTAATACACATTCTTGAGTAGTGACTATAAATTTTTATTGTTACACGCACAAAAAGTATACAGTATATCATGTATCTTCTTCAATTCCATCAATGCATGCAAGCCATTGATGCATTGCATGCACTGTTATACTATAAATGTTACCTTGATGACTCTCGTGCTCTGTCTTTACTCTTTACATGTGAAAATTCTCTGAGATGTCTTTTAAGGACAGACAGTTGAGATCATATGCTGCATTCATGCCTAACAAATGTCTTAATTTCTTCACCTTCTTTGGTGATCTTTTTGACCTTACAAATGTTAACAGAAACTGGAAACTCAAGAAATCATATGATATGTCTGCCGCAAATCACTCTTTTGGTCTTGGTTTCATCACTTCCTCTTCAAGCTTGTGAAGATGCTATCATTTTCTTCTTCTTTTTTTTAGCTGGTAAAAGACCATAAAAAGGTAAATCAACTGGCTCAAATAATCAAGAAAGCCAATAGACGTTTAACTTGTAATCTTATGATTAGTTAACAATCTGACTAACTTGACTGGGGTTGCCTGGATACTGTCATTTTCGTTCTTTAAAGAAATGTTTTGCTTTAGAGTTTTACTGTCACATTGTGTACCAGTTATTTAGTACGTTCTTTAGGTGGAAATTACTATATTAAATTACCAAAAATATCTTACCAAATCCCAATATTTTATTCCAATTACAGTGCTGTGATTATCTGCAGAGCTGCATTGTACTGTTATATGAGTGTTTCTCACTCCAATTATGGCCCCTCTTGGCCTCTTTGAGGTTCTCTAGTTCAGTATCTGTCACTTTTGGGGCCAACTGTGATCTGAACTTCATGTTATCTACCATCCCAACACCCTAGATTTGACATGGGGTTTTCAAGAAACACCCACATGTAGCTCTTTTATGAGGTCTCATTGCATATTTGCATGCACAGTTGAGCTTCAGAGTTGAGAGAAACATCCATCCATGGAGGCCGCTGCTTCTTGCCGGTTCTTTCTAGTTCTAGTTCTACCCCTGTCTCTTATTTCAGCTGTTTTTGGTGTTACAGACCCGAATGACTTGGGTATTTTGAATGATTTGAGGAAGGGTTTGAAGAATCCTGAGCTTTTGAAATGGCCTGCAAAAGGGGATGACCCTTGCGGGCCTCCAACATGGCCGCATTTAGTGTGCAGTGGTGGGAGAGTGGAGCAGATTAATGTTATGGGTTTGGGGTTGGAAGGCCCTTTGCCTCAGAGCTTGAATCAGTTGTCAAAGCTGACACATTTGAGCCTGCAAAACAACAAATTCAGTGGAAAGTTGCCATCTTTGAGTGGCCTGTCTGAATTGCAGTATGCATATCTTGATTTCAATGAATTTGACACAATCCCCTTTGATTTCTTTGATGGGGTTGTGAATTTGCAGGTTTTGGCATTGGATGGGAACCCTCTGAATGCCAGTAATGGGTGGTTATTGCCAGATAAGTTGCAAGATTCAGCTCAATTGACTAATCTTACACTTATGAACTGCAATTTGGGTGGCCCTTTGCCTGAGTTCTTGGGCAGTATGGCCTCATTGGAGGTCTTGTTGCTATCCATGAATCGCCTTTCGGGGCCTCTGCCCCAGAGTTTCAGAGGCTCTATGCTGAAGATGCTCTGGTTGAATGACCAGTCAGGTGAAGGGATGAATGGCCCAATAGATGTAGTTGCCACTATGGAATCACTCACTAGTTTATGGCTTCATGGCAACCATTTCTCAGGCAAAATCCCAGAGAGCATTGGGAATTTGGCTTACTTGCAGGATCTAAACCTTAATACTAATAACCTTGTTGGTCTGGTTCCCAGTAGCTTAGTAGATATGCCCTTAGCCCATCTTGATTTGAACAATAATCATTTCATGGGTCCTATGCCAAAGTTCAAGGCTCAAAATATTACCATGAAATCCAACCCCTTTTGCCACACCCAACCTGGTGCCCCTTGTGCCCCAGAAGTTATGGCCCTTCTGCAATTTCTTGATGCCATGAATTACCCTTTGAACCTTGTTGATTCATGGTCAGGCAATGACCCCTGTGGCGGGGATTGGCGGGGAGTGAGCTGTGATGCAAACCGTAAGGTCAGTATCATAAACTTGCCTAAGTTTAACCTTTCTGGTAGCTTGAGCCCTTCCATTGCAAACCTTAGCTCTCTTGCTCGCGTGTTTCTTGAATCCAATAATATCTCGGGACCGATTCCAAGAACTTGGACCGGGTTGAAATCTTTGGTGGTGTTGGATTTGCGGGATAATAACCTCTTGCCTCCGGTGCCACACTTTAGTGATTCTGTTAAGCTTGTGCTGAGTGGAAACTCTCTGCTGAATTCTAACCATTCGGGTGCTAGCTCCTCGAGAAAAAACGATACCTCCTCTCGAGGCTCACAATCATCATCTCCATCACCATTGTTACCATATAAAGGCTCAAACACTGGTGATGATGAAGTTCCATATGTGGAATCACCAGAAAACAGAAGATCAGATAAGTCTAAGATAGTTGTGATTGTGGCCCCTCTTGCCTGTTTTGTGATTTTGGTCTTTCTAGTTGTGCCACTCTCAATTTGTGCCTGTAAGAAGAGTAAAGACAGTAGTCCCCAAGCTCAAAGTTCTCTTGTGATTCATCCTAGGAATCCATCAGATTCAGATAACATGGTCAAGATTGCTATTGCCAGTAACCCGAGTGGCAGTAGTGATTCCACAAGCACACACGGTGGCGAGTCTCACATGATTGAATCTGGCAACCTAGTCATATCAGTTCAAGTTCTTAGGAACATAACTAAGAACTTTTCCCCCGAAAATGAACTTGGGCGGGGCGGTTTTGGAGTGGTCTACAAAGGAGAATTAGAGGATGGCTCAAAAATTGCAGTGAAAAGAATGGAATCTGGAGTGATTACAAGCAAAGCATTGGAAGAGTTTCGGTCTGAGATTGATGTTCTTTCCAAAGTTCGCCACCGCCACCTGGTATCTCTTCTAGGATATTCAGTACAAGGCAACGAAAGACTCCTCGTTTATGAGTACATGCCTCAAGGAGCTCTCAGCAAGCACCTTTTCCAGTGGAAGAGTCTGAAGTTAGAGCCTTTATCTTGGAAGCGGAGGCTAAACATCGCGTTGGATGTTGCTCGAGGCATGGAGTATCTTCACACACTCGCCCATCAAAGCTTCATACACCGAGATCTAAAGTCCTCGAATATCTTACTCGGAGATGATTTCAGAGCCAAAGTATCAGACTTTGGCCTAGTGAAACTCGCCCCCGATGGAGCAACGTCTGTGGTCACGAGGCTGGCTGGAACGTTTGGATATCTAGCACCCGAATATGCAGGTACCATTTCTCTTCGATTTCTACCTTGATTCTATAAATGTGCTATGAAACTTTCATGTTTGGTAAATGACTGTTACCTGATAGCTGTTAGCTGTTAGCTGATTGGGTTAAAAGGTATACCAAACAGCTATCAGCTAACAGCTCATTTACCAAACTGTTTTCTACAATCAGCTAATGTTATCAACTAGTTATTGTCTGTATGGTACATATTGGCTCACTTGAAATTGCTTATTTGATTCAGTTACTGGCAAAGTGACCACAAAAGCGGATGTTTTCAGCTTCGGGGTTGTGCTAATGGAGCTGTTAACTGGACTAATGGCACTCGACCAAGACAGGCCCGAGGAGAGCCAGTATTTGGTTGCGTGGTTCTGGAATGTGAACTCGAGGAAAGACGGGCTCTTTGCAGCCATTGATGCAGCGTTGGACGCTAAACAGGAAACATTCGAGAGCATTTCAACCATAGCAGAACTCGCTTGCCACTGCACCGCTAGAGAGCCTAGCCAGCGGCCTGACATGGGGCACGCTGTGAGCGTGCTCTCCCCGCTGGTCGAGAAATGGAAGCCTCTCGACGATGATACAGAGGAATACTGTGGCATCGACTACAGCCTCCCGCTTAACCAAATGGTGAAGGGGTGGAAGGAAGCAGAAGGAAAGGAGTCGAGCATTGTGGACCTCGACGACAGTAAGGGCAGTATCCCAGCAAGGCCTACTGGCTTTGCAGAATCCTTCACCTCAGCTGATGGTAGATAGAGATGATGTGAGGTACATTGCCCTTTCCATTCCCATTTGATTCTTCTGTTAAGTAGATACAGATAAAGCCTTTTCATTGTTCTCTCTTTTGTTCTGTGAGATCATATATATGAATGATTGATTGTATTTATGCAATTGTTCATTGCTATTTTGGGGAAGTTGTGAAATTTCAATTCAAAAGCTTTGAGTATATATATGAATTGTAACTGCAATTTCCATGAGATAATTGAGATGCCTTTGGCTTGCAGAAAGAACCATAAGCCTGGAATCATGTGCTCTACTCATGTTGAATTTGCATGCCTACTCATGTTGAATTTAGTTTCTATACTATTCATATAATAATTAGATAAAATATATATATATATATATATATATATATATATATATATATATATATATATATATATATATATATATATATATATATATATATATATATATTATTTGAGTAAAAATCATAACACCTTAAAAACTGTTATGATGAGATAGCACTTAAAAATTGTTAGGGGTGGGTTTTGAAAATAACAGCCCATCAAGGAGCGGACTTTTTTGGCCTGCCCCGCCTAGACCCATAAGTTTGGCGGGGCGGATCACAGGCTACCTGTCAATTATTTACAAATTATATATATATATATATATATATATATATATATATATATATATATATATATATATATTATTGTCCGAGAAAATTCTTTCTGGCCCAGTCGGAAAATTCTTCATGGACTCCTTTTTGTTTGAATTTTTTTTTTTTTTTTTTTTTTTTTTTTTTTTTTTTTGTAGAACCTACACTTATATAACTAGATATCCATAAAAAGTTTGGGTTGAAAACATGTTTCAGTAATCACAGAAAATTCCGTTAAGTTCTTGGTGGTGTGCTGCTCAAAAAAATTCTGCTTGAAGCAGTTTAAGGGAAAAATTCGAGAAAATTACTTCTAGGGTTGGATTGATATGATTTTTTTTTTTTTTGTATGTTCTAGACCTGATGAACTTCATATCTGGAAAAATTTGTATCAAAATTCGTTACCAAATAATCTCATAAAATTTCACAATCTAAGTAAAAAAAATTTGAATTTTTTGCGAGTTCCAGACTTCCAGTTTCTTGTATATATATAATATTTTATAAAATCTAACTATAACCTAATAAGTAATAACCATTACCCTAGTTTAATGTTTTAGAATTTTAGACTATGGACTTTATAATTATTGTTGTGTATTATGTAATGTCTAATGTTTAATGAATTATGTCTTATCTTAGTTATGTAACAAGTTATTTTAATTATTTTTAGAGTGTACAAATGGTAACATTTAACAAAGCAACAAATTAACAACTTAAGAGTTAAGAACAAAAAAAAAAAAAGAAAAAAAAAAAAAAGAAAGTGGGGGGGGGGGGGGGGGGGGAGTGGTGTGGTGGGGGCCCGCCTAGCCTGCGGGGCAGTCTCGACCAGTAAAACCCAAGTCTACAAAGGAACAGGCTTTTTCGGCTCGGCCCGTCAGCCCGTATTGACAGCTCTACTTGTACTATAAGTTTACAAATGTTGATTAATAATGTGGTTCTATTGTATTATATAAATATAAATTGTACACTCAATCAGTCAACCTATCGTTTTAACATAACAACTTAATATTATTTTATGTATATATGACGATAGTAATATTATATAAAATAGAAGCAATTAATATGATCTCATGCCATCCAAATAAAATAGTAGCACCATATGTATGCAACCTCCTAAATGTTTGGTCATGAAACGTGCAATGCATAGACTATGGAGATGGAAATGAAGGAGAGATCTCATCAATTAATAAACAATTAATATATGGTTTGTGTGAGTAGTTTAAAAAGTTATTAGTCGCCACTCATCACATGAAACAAGCGTACAAGATAAGGATGGGCAACCGTTGACATTTAACACAATAAGGGGCCGTTTGGTTCACGGAATGTTAGATTACCTTAGGGAATGTTAGATTACCTTAGGGAATGTTAGATTGCTGGGAATGTTAGATTACTGGGAATGTTAAATTCCTGTGTTTGGTTAAGACTGAGGTATATAATATAATTATGTTTGGTTTAGGGTTATCTTTATCTTTATATATATATATATATATATATATATATATATATATATATATATATATAAGCTAACATAAAATATATATTTTTAAATAATTAGAATGAAAATAGCAAAATTTATAAATATCCAAGGTTATCTCACATTACCTAAGAAAAGGAAGGGAATCACATTCCCTTCAAAATCCTATGTGGAGGGAATGTTCCATTCCCTGGGAATGTTATATTCCCTCAGATAGTATGAACCAAACATAGGAATCTAAGCTCAGGAATGTCATATTCCCATGGTTATGTAATATAACCTGAACCAAACGCCCCCTAAAAATTTTCAACAACCCAACTTCCAAACAACGACTTAGTTATAACGTTGAAGAAAATTATTTGTTTATTCACATTACCATCCCATGATCCTACTCACTCATGTAAGCTCCAAATTAATATATCTTGTCTCATATATCTCTCCGTCTATATAGATTTCGATATCTTGGGAACAATTTTAGTCAAGTTGATCAGACAGTTAACTTGATAATCATAAGAGTTGCTCTATGTAAATAATTGTCTATTGGTTTGAGCCGGTCAACTATAAACAATTTATAATCATTTACTTCCTTGTGGTCATTTGCTGGCTAAAGTTACAAAATGCACACCTTCGGATAGCAACTATAGGCAATTCTAGAAGAAAAAAAAAAGCACTTGTTTTACTATAGTAGCTTTGAATGTATGGCTTAACTGATTAATCAATTCAAAATAGAGTTAATATGCTAATTACCCAACTTCGCTGATAGCCTTTCCTATTTAGGAGAGTATGGAATTAGCTTTGTTGTGAGTACATGTGTAGATGGTTAGTTGAGTCATATGTTATAATTTACCTTATCTAAGAAAATTCTAGACAGATGTGTGAAAACTCTCGAGATTGGAGATAATTCTTTTTTTAACTAATGAGGAAAAAAACAAAAGAGGATAATGGAATCTTACATTTGATCAATCTCTTTCATAGCGTTGACTATAAAACATTTGGAACCTTAGAGAAACAACTTCTTTTTTTGGCCCAATACCATCATGGCTGACCAAACCAAAACCACCATCTTCATAATCTTCCCTTCAAGCCAGCTCTTCATCATATACCCAAACTAACATGAACAACACCGCAGTCGGCCCCGTCCCCGACTCCGGCGGCTTTTTAGGCTCGGGACACATCGGCGGTTTCGGCTACGGGATCGGAGTCTCCGTCGGAATTCTCTTGCTCATCACAACCATCACCTTAACGTCATATTTCTGCACCAAAAACCACGCCGCCGAGGCCACGACGAGGCGGGGGCCGAGGAACAATGCGGCGGCGGCCGCCCGGCAAGATCCTCAGAACTGCGTGGTGGAGATTGGGTTGGACGAGGCAACGTTGTTGAGCTATCCGAAGATGTTGTTCTCCGACGCCAAACTCAACCACAAGGACTCCACGGCCACCTGCTGTTCCATCTGCCTTGCTGACTATAAAACTTCGGATATGCTAAGGTTGTTGCCGGATTGCGACCATCTTTTTCACCTGAAATGCGTTGACCCTTGGCTCCGGCTCCACCCCACTTGCCCCGTCTGCCGGACTTCGCCGTTGCCGACGCCGCAGTCAACGCCGTTGGCCGAGGTTGTCCCCCTGGCTAGTAGACCTGGTGGCTAAGTCACTCTGATTTACCCTTTCATTATTGGATCATCTTTTTCTCCAGAATTTCTGTGTCCATAGTTTTTTTTGTTTGTTTTTTTTTTTTGGATCAAATTAATGATAGAATGCATCGTATTGAAATTAAAGAAAATTTTCGATTTATAATTTCATAGGTTTCTTTGTTATTTGGGTTCACCAATTTATGAAATTATTAATTTATTATGTTTTAGTTTTCTGATCAATTCAATCTTTCTTGCTATATACGTCTTCGTAAGTAACGAGGATCATGTTTAATTTAATTATTTAAGATCAGATCACAGTGATGATTAATTTTATTTAATTTGGGAAGCAGCCTTATAAATACCAAGCAAGTTGGTATATACATTATTATTATTATTATTATCATTTCTTTGTTTATATACAGCAAAAATAGCAAGGAATTAGTTGTATTAGAAAATGATTAATAACTACTCAATTAATTAATCAATGTTTTTGCATTCAAAAAAATTAATCAATGTTTTTTAATATAAATTTGAGCCCTAAACTTAAATGTCACTCACATCTCTTATCTCGAAAATAAGTGAAGGAGGTAAATTGCGAGAATATAGTGTAATTAATGTGACATGATATAAAAAATGTAGTCTTAGAGATGGCTAGCATATGAGGTTTAGTTCGTGATCGGCAAGGATGATAGATTAATATTAGGTCTACCGTTAAGATTGAGCTAATGGACTTAGGGAGGATCTTCGATTAGTGAAGGCTATAAATTTTAAAAATGTCGAAGTGGAACTTGATCTTAAATTAAAATAGTAGTGAAGGTGATCAAGGGTGACATGGGAGCAAATTAGATCAAGGAGTGTGTCTACCCTCCTACTAAAATATAGGCAACTATTGAAACGTAAAGGATCCCTTAGGACCTCATATGTCACGGGAAGAAAATAAATATGCGGACTACCTGTCGGTTAATCTTGGCTAAAGGTTATACTTAGGTACTTTGATGTTGGGATAATCTCTAGATAATATGATGAATTTTGTCCAAATAAACAAAACCGATACACCAACATAAAAAATTAAATATAGCCGCCTTTTATGGTTGGATCTCTTAGCTGTACCAAAAAAGTGTATATATAAAATTGTGAAGTGTTTGATTTTGGTCCAAAATCGACATTCTCACCCACTTCTTGATCAAACCGATTTGGATTGTATCCTTATAAATATGTTTATGTTTAATTAAAACTGTAAATATGGACTGGCGGGATGAGGCCCGCCAAAGCCTACCTTTGTGAGAGAACGGGCTAAAAAACCCACCAAAATGCAAGCCTAAGGGGTCCAGTCCGCCCCGTCCCCTTAGGCCCGCGGGGCTGGGCGATCGAGGCCCCGCTAGTTTGGGTCTTTTTTTAAAACTGACACACATGCACACAGATTCAAGCCCAATTTAAACTTTAATCTTTTTATTTTTTTTTTGAAAGGACAATTTAAACTTTAATAAACTGTAAACTATGGGCTAGGAAGGCCCGTGGTGTGGGAACAAAATGTTAGCCTTGTTAGTGTCCAAAGATGAATAATGTACAAAAAAATCATTTGATAACTCATAATACTTTTATATATAAAACCTATGCTCAATCTATTCAAAATTTCAACCATCTCTTTTGAGGTTTTGTATATTTATTTATATAATTTTTTTATATTGGTATGTTTTCTTACGTTTCAAGAATAGATATATTCATTGGAGTAATACTAGCTAGGGAGTCTAGGGGTGGGCACTTGGGTTCGATTTATCCGAACCAAATCGAACCGGTCCGAATCGAACCGAACTAGTAATAGAAAATCGAACGGTTCGGAATTTTGTAACCCGAACGGTTTAGTACCAAACCGAATCGAAATTGAACGGTTTGGCAAAAATCGAACCGAACCGAATGCTATGTAATTTTTTAATAAATAATAATAATAATAATAATAATAATAATAATAATAATAATAATAATAAAAGAAGTAAATCCAAGTTCCTTGATGCCTGCTCCGCCGTTTAGTTCTCACTCTTACTGGTACCGAACCTTAAATTTTTTATTTGATTTCTTTATAGCTTGTTTTCTACATTGCACTTTTGTTGTTTGTCGCAATTGTTCTTTATCTCACAATTATATCTAACTTGAGTTATATTTACAATATTCAGTAATTTTGATTTCCAATGCACTATAATTATTTTCTAGTACTGTAATATATTTCAAGTGCACTAGCAATGACAGATTGTGTCTAAAAATTAACTATATAATAATTGACACTAATTCTTTTAATATCAACTATACAGATAGATGATTATTCATCTTATCAATAAAAATATTCCAACTGAAGAGTCGGTTGTGCAAAAACGTTAACTGATGTTTGGTAATTAGTACTTAGTATTGTGTTTGAACTTTGGATTGCTATTTTGTTATATAATGTTTAGAGTTTGAATTTGGATTATGTGAATATGTATTGTTTGGTACTATGTTCAAAAAATTAGGAAATGTTAAAATTTGGGGATCTTAAACCTAACCGAACACTGAACTGAATTAAATCTGAACCGAAACCAAATCGTTTCAAACCGAATCGAACTCTAACATTAAACCGAAAAACCGAAACCGAAACAAAAAAAAAAAAAAAAAAAAAAAAAATTGAACCGAAACCTGAAATGCCCACCCCTAAGTAATACTACATGTACTCTCATTTTTTATTCCGCGCTAAAGTGTTATCTTTTGATTGATTTAAATAGCAAAGTGTATCACTGGTTTTTTTTTTTTTTTTTAAAACAGGACCTGTTTTTATTCATTTACTTTTATTTACTCAATAAAATTTGTACACCAGAGTTGTAGTCCATAAAATTTGTACACCAGAGTTGTAGTCCATAGAAGTACATGTATCATTTTCCTATTCATTGTTAATTGTGAACAAAAAAAAAAAACACATTTTTTAAGGTTGTGAATTGCCACCTAATGTACGATTGCCTCCAAGAGTGATTTAATTTTCTCTTCTTCCTTGTACGATTGTCCCATCGCCCAACCGCCTGAGAGAACCGGTACCGTCTTCTTCATCAAGCTTTCCGACTTTCTTCTCTTATTAATCGCCCTCTCTCTCTCTCTCTCTCTCTATCTCTCTCGCTCAAACATGCACAGATAATCTACCATGGCGATATCATCAAAACCTGTCGTCGCCCTTTTCTTCTCTCTCTGCGTCTTCCTTCCTTTGATTTCAGCAATGTCCACGGACATCAAGTATTGCAGTAAGCTCCTCTTTGCCCTTTGTTTTTATTCACTTTTCTCCTTCTTCTCTGTCGTCTTCTTGTTTTTGGGTTTTAGCTGTTATCCCGTTTCCCAGATGCCCAGCAACAGGGACTTAGATTTTAGCTGTTTGTTTCGGATTTGAGATCATAAAAACCTGATCTTTGTGGTTAATTTGCCCAGAAAAAGTGAACCCTTTTCACAGAACAGGTTTAACAACGTTGTATGAATTTCATGTTAATAATTCACTTGAAAATATATATACATGCAGGCCAGGCAAACTATGCCGTGAAGGTGACCGGAGCTGATATAACACCTTTTCCGGTGAAGAGAGGCGACAACGCCACTTTCAGTATCACTGCTGCCACAGGTGATATGATGGCACTGTTTTATAATTTTTTTTCTTTTAAAGTCACGAGAAAACTCGTAGTCACTATTCAAAGGTGTTTAAGGAGTAAAATTCAATCTTGTGATCCTAGCTAATAAAAGATTATAAGTAAAATCATCTAAGGGCTTAAACAAAAATATTCAATAATAAGTCACTCCAATGATACTTATATTACCATTTTGATGAGTTTCAAAAAGATTGTTTTGTTATCACTTCACAATTTCTTTCTTATGAAGTTGATCGATCTTGCATGGGATTATATGGATACTATTCTTTTTCTTGGATCCTATCAAGAAAATTTCTCTAATTGCATGACTAGAAGTTTGGGATGGATTTCCCCTTGCAGATAAAGGTATGGTTGGTGGAAAGCTAGGGATACATGTCCTATACTATGGAATGGACATCTACCACGAGACTTACAACATTTGTGCAGAGACATCTTGCCCTATTTCTACTGGTTATTTTGTTTTATCACACACTCAAAAATTACCACAGTATACACCCACGGTAAGTAGTAGGCATCTTTGCAATTTCATTTTAATCCTCTAGGGTACTTGAATTGGCATTGTGTGTGGGGGGGGGGGGGGGGGGGATTGTCACTGTGTTTTGGCTTGATGACTTTGTTGTCTTTATGGATCTTTTAAGTTGACAATGCTTAAAAAATACAGGGTGAATTCTCCCTTAAAATGACAATACTAGATGAAGAGGATAATGAGTTGACATGTATCACCTTCGACTTTGTTATCGGCGTTGGCATTGGACTTATTGCAAAATCGAAGGGAATTCTTTCCAACTTTCTCTAGTAACATGCCATGGTCATGCTCTGAGTTGCAAGAATAAATAGATTTGAACTTATGTTTTGTTACCCATCTTCTTTGTAATCATGATGCATACACTTCATTGATGGAGTGTTCATTTTGTCTAGTGTTTATGTATTGTTTGTTTCCAAGTGGTCCTTAATTTTTGAAGAGTGATATATATGATATATGTTATAATCTATGTCCTTAATTGATCTGTATATTTATATATATAAATCACAATAAGAAAATGCTTAATTAGCAACCAGTTAGGCAACTGTTGATTAAATAGAAAGAAAAAGAAAAAAAATCCCTTTTAATTACTACTCCGTAATAATTACTCTTTTATTTACATTAAAAAGTATATAAAAATAACTTTAGAATGTATAATACAATTTATCGTTACGCATTGAAAATTAGAGACGAATTAACATAGAAAATCACATGAATTTAATTAAGCCTAGTTTGAACTTTGAACCATGACAAACGTGTACAGTATGGGCTAACAAGGCCCATGATGTGATGAGAACAAATTATGCCTTTGTTAATGTTTCAAGAAATGATATATTCATTGTTAATTCCGAAAAATAATAACTTTTTTTTCAAGGTTGTCACCTAATGTATGTACGGTTGCCTCCTTCCCAGGGACGGGGCCAGAAAAATACTTGAGCGGGGGCGAAGTTTAAATGACAGTTATAAATATCAAACAGTCATAAGGTTAAAATACAAAATATATTATAATAAATTGCAATAGAATATTTTTGATAGATTAAACGATAGTTAGAGTCGGAGCAAAAAATATACTTGAGTGAGGTGAAAATGTAAAAATATTTATGACAAAATATGAAACATAATCAATTAGATAAAATAATTTGAATAAAATGAAGTATAATATAAACGTGTATACTACATTACTACATTAATTAAATGATTCATAAAAAATAAACTAAAAGAGCATTTAATTTGTTAATTAAATGATTCATAAAAGTAGGTTAAAAAATATTTATCTTGAGAAGGAATGAGATATAAAATAAATAAGTGAAGATAAGGAAAAGTATTTTTAATGAGATTCGAACCTATGACCATACACTTTTTTAAAAATCAAATTTAAAAGTAAACCAACTAAGCAATTCTAACTATTAATACATTAAACATAAATATAAATTTTATATAACATTTAATGCTATATATGTCTATATATACATACATATATATAAAGGGGTGGGGTGGGAGAGTGGGGGCAGCTGCCCCCACTGCCCCCATACTGCCTCCGTCTCTGCTCCTTCCAAAGAGTGATTAACTTTTGAGTAATATTACACATTTTATATTCCCACTTTCTACCTATTTTCTACTTCTTACTTATGTGACCATTTCAATCATTCAAAAAACATGTGAATCACAGTTTTTAATTCACTACTAGAAATTATTGAATTTACGATCACCTGAAAGTTATTTAATCAAGTCGAAAGTAAAAAATGGTCAGAAATAGCAACAAAGATTTTTCCGAATATCAAAAGTAGTCGAAACAAGGCTTTTGACTTGATTTAAGATCACTTTTCAGGTGGTCGGAAATTTCATAATTTCTGGTAGTTTTTTCTTCTTCTTCCATTAGGCATTAAAATCAATATATATTATGAGAATTTTACTTCCTTGAAGTCTACTTATCATTTTCCTTTGCGTACCCTCCTTCCTTGTACGATTGTACCGTCTTCCTCGTCAAGCTTTCTTCTCTTATATATTAATCGCCCTTTGGATCTGTCGCTCAAACATGCACAGACACGAAGACGACGACAGAGATGATCTACAATGGCGATATCAAAACTTGTCGTTACCCTTTTCTTCTCTCTCTCTCTCTCTGCGTGTTCCTCGCCCCTTCGCTTTCAGCCCCGCATGCAGCGTCCATGGCCGTCAAGTATATATTGCTGTAAGCTTCTCTTTGCCCTTTGTTTTTATTCACTTTTCTTCTTCTTATCTGTCGTCTTCTTGTTTTTGGGTTTTAGCTGTTATCCCTTTTCCCAGATGCCCAGCGACAGGGACTTAGATTTTTGCTAGTTTCGATTTGACATCATAAAAATCTGATCTTTGTGGTTAATTTGCCCCAACAAGCGAGCTAACCCTTTGAAAGAACAGGTTTAACAACGTTGTATGAATTTCATGTTAATAATTTATTTGCAGACGAGATCGACTATGCTGTGAAGGTGACTAGGGCTGACGTAACACCTTGGCCGGTGAAGAGAGGCGTCAACGCCACTTTCAATTTCACTGCTGCCACAGGTGATGGTGTTGGATATTTATTATATAGGAAATATATGATTGAGGTTTCAAATATGTTACTAAATTTAAATAATATATTTGAGGTATTGTGGAGTTGTAAATATTATTTTAGTTGATGACCATGTTTGAGAAATGCAGGGTGAATTCTCCATTCAAATAATGTTAATAGACAACGAAAAAGATGAAGATCGAGTTGACATGTGTCACCTTCGACTATACTCCAACTTCGAGGACAACCTTGGACTTATTGCAAATTAAAATTCATGGGAGTTCCTTCTAAATTTCTCGTGTAACATGACATGGTCATGCTCTGAGTCACAAGAATAAATGGATTTGAAATTATGTTTTGTTACTTTATCTTCTTTGTAATCTTGATGCATACACTTCATTAATGAAGTGTTCATAGTGTTTCTGTGTCTTTCCCATGATAACGTGTGCTGGAATCCATTAAAGTGCAAGGTCGTTCTATTTGATTCCTATCCAAAATACTTTTAGAAACCTATAAATTGTGAGATACAACACTCGAAATTGAGTGGAATTCTTTGCTTTAGAGGGTTGACCCATAGAGACATGGCTCATGCAGTCATGCTTTATCACCATAAAGACTAAAGAGTCCCAATCACTTTAATCCATAAAGTCCAACTGCAAGAAAGAGAAAAAGAATTCGAAGCTGCTTTTGCAAATTGCAACCCTTGTGACTGAATTATGATGGGTGACACACCTTGTCCCCTCAAGATTGACATTGCTACCAATCACCCCACCAAGGTCAAACTCATTGTTACACTTCCAACTATATAAAGCCTAATATTAAGCCAATCATCCCCAAAACATTTTTGTCTATCTCTATTTACTCCTATTATTAACATCACAATTTACGAACCCAACAGGCAGCTCACGTGGCAAATGAACTCTTGAATTCGATTCCCACAACCACAAGTCCACAAATGACAATTCCTCCTAAGTCAGTTCCTGTCAGTCGTATGCCTCTCGGAGCAAGTGGGACTCCCATCACACTAATTTGATTGTGGTTGATAGGTCAGTTCCTGTCAGTCCTGTGCCTCTCGGAGCAAGCGGGACTCCCATTACACTAATTTGATTGTGGTTGACCCGTTGCAGTTACATTTTCTTCACATACATTATGAACCTATCTCTCATGTCATCATCCAGAACTTTGTAAAGCAACTAAGCAGTGACTTTGTGTATATATGTACATTACTTTCCCAACCACTGAACATTATAAAAATAAGAGAGGTCACCATCAACTTTGGCCTCTACCATGAAGCTCACTTCTCCATCTTCTTGGCTGCCTTCATATTTTTCAAAGCAGCAGTGGCAGTAAGCATTACATGGTAGTTTGCTACTGCAACATCAAATCAGGAAGAAAAAAAAAATGATGATGAAGAGCTTGAGAGGAAGATTTCTAAGCAAATACAAATCCCTCCCAACAATGGCTTCTCTGAAACAACAAAGCTTTCTTCCTCCACTAAACCTCCCAACACTCCATGAATCCTTCGACAACAACATCCTCTCTGTTCCCGAGATTACTAAGGATGTTTTCCAGGAAGAAGCATTGGAAGAATTTCAAGAATTGGCTACTTCCAGAAAGACTAAACCAGCTTTATGCGAAGAAACCCAGAAAGAAGATGAAGAATCTCCAACGCTGCCGGAATTTGAAGAGAAATGTCCGCCGGGAGGGCGAGAATCGGTGGTGCTCTACACGACAAGCCTGCGGGGAATCAACAAAACCTTCGAGGACTGCAAGAGAATCCGGTTTTTACTCGACAGCTTTAAGGTTGTTTACCAGGAGAGAGACGTGTCAATGCACCTGGAGTACAGGGAGGAGCTCTGGGAAACCCTCGGCGGCGGCGGCAGAGTCATCCCTCCGAGGCTGTTCATCAAAGGCAGGCTGATCGGCGGCGCCGACGAGGTTGTCGGATTGCACGAGCGAGGAGCTTTGAGGACACTCCTGAAAGGCATCCCTTTGGTCCCTTCTGTTTCTCCCTGCAAAGGGTGTTCGGGAATGCGGTTTGTTCTCTGCTTAAAATGCCATGGCAGCTGCAAGATCACTGCAGAAGAAGATAAAATGGATGATCTTCCTGTTAGATGCCCAGATTGCAATGAAAATGGACTGATCAAATGCCCTCTTTGCAACTAATACTACTATCCCTCATCTCTCTTCTCTCTCTCTCTCTCTCCCTTCTTAATCTTGTAAATATATATTTTTTTCTTTTCTCCCTCATTTCTGACTTCTTGTACTATGTTTCATGGGTATTAATCTAGTATTTCTGACTTTCTGTTCTATATTTTATGGGTAAAAAAACACTAATCTGATTCTGTACTACATGTAAAAAACATTAACGTCCTATGAGATAGGACTGTTAAAGTCATACGAGAGTCTTAGAGGCGAGGAAATTTCACAGGAAAAATTGGGTGTAAAGAACAGTTAGATATATTTATTGATTCAAGAAAGGAGGTTAGAAACTGATGTACACTTTCAAGTTTCAACAAGGTGACAAACTCTAGCTATGAATGTTGCTGCAGACACAAAAGGATGGATAAGAAGAACTAATAATCTAATCAAACTTTAAAAAGAAATTTACATTCAAATATTTATGTTGCAGCTTCAGTTAATGCAAATTCAACTGATAGTTGCGAAGCAGCTTCTTCTACTGCCGGAGTTTCAGAATGGCCCGAGGAGGTTGCTGCTTCTATTGCCGGAGTTAATAAGGGTGCTGGTTGAGAATGGGTATAGTGGAACTCGATCTGAAGCCGGTGATGAAGAGGCACTGATGTTACGAGACCTCTCTTCATATCTGCCTCAAGTTCTCTAATGGGAATGGCAGCCAAGAAGTCCTTTATGTAGCGTTTGCACGACTCTTTTCCTCGAGAGATAATTTCGTTCTGCTCAGTTTTCGCTGATTCCTCGGGCCCAGAAACCGCCATTTGAGTGTCGGCAGAAACCTCGTCTGAATTGGCCGGGGGAGGAGCATTAGCGGTCTTTGGTTCTGCAGCGGAAGAAACCGTTTCGTCTGATGATTGTGCAGCCTCAGGCAGTTTATAGATGGCGGTGTTCGTGTCAAACTTTAGTATGTAAGCCTGGTTGCAGCCTTCGTAGAGCCGCTCGCCTAACGTGTCGATGATGTAGTAAGCTTCGGGTTCGATTTTGAGGACAAAAAAGTGGTCATTCCAGCTGACAATGTAGACTTGGGGCTCCCCAATCTCAGCACGGCTTATCTCGTCCCAGATACTGTCGAACGACATGGCGCCATGCAAGAAATCGAATCTCCCCTCGTCCATCCCATCCGGGTGGAAAAACCCGACGAAGGATTTCGATGGAACTACAGAGATTGGTCGGATTTTGGCTTGAAGGACAGTCTCCAAGTCGAAGTGCTTATCGGGGAACCTTTCCCGGTAAGTTTCATTCTCACACAGATTCCTCCACTCCAGAGAGCCTTCTCGAATCAAGCTATCGAACTGCGACTTAACAGGCATCAGATCGCGATTGGTTTGTAACCAATCGGCAATAACAGCAACGAGCGCTGTACATGCACTTTCTCCGGCTGCTTGCTCACTTCGCTGATCAATGGAAGCGAAAAAGACCTGCGTTTGAAGCATCATGTGCCCATCCCGGCTCGTAATATCTTTCTGTTCCCAGCTTCCAACAGTAAAACTATCATCACAAAACCCCGATAATGAAGATTGGTTTTCAACCCCCACTCTCTGCCACTGCAAAAATACGTTAATATCACCCATTAACAGACTTGAAAGAGCACAATTGCCCAGGTTAAATATAACACCATTATCAATGGAGTCTTTTAGCTGATTGGGTTAGTGGGTTTAACTAGTTGATATCATTAGCTAATTGTAAAAAAGTGTCTGGTAAATTAGCTAACAAAATGACTTTTTCAAAAAGCTGATGGAAAAAGCTACTACTTAGTGCTTTTGAATTTTAGCATTTTGGAGCAATAAGTTTTACAAAAAGCTAATTAGTTAAACGTTCATAGTCAAACAGCTCATAGTGGTCAAATAAGCCAAAATTAGCTGATAGGCTAACTATTTTACCAAACAGAGCAAAAAATTTATGCATCTGACATGTTCAATCTTGCGAAAATAATCAGAAATTAGCAGAGCTGGAAATAAATGTCGGTTGAACTAACCCAATTCCGTAAGAAAAAGCAACAGATATCGAAGATCATTACCCCGAAGGAAATAGATTCATCAGAACTGAGCTGGCGGCGATCATAGTCAATGTCATCTCCACCGTCTTCCCAATAATTCTTCTTCAACAATGGCTCCCCCTTACCCTTAGGAGATCTGAAGCTCAGCTTCCTCTTCCTCCAAGGAAGAATACTGCGTTTCGAGTTTTGCAAAACTACAGGCACCGGAACTTCATCATCCATGTTCGAGCAGCCAACATCCGACCTGCGGTTGCTATAGTAAACCAAATCCTCGTCCTTAGCACTAATCCTCGTATTGGAATAAAACGATGATCCCGCAAAATTGGCATAGGCCAATGTACCATAACTAAATGAGTTCCTAACTGGAGAAGAATCTCCCTTTCCTTCCTCCAATTCTCCTCCTCCATCGAGTCCATCGAGTGACTCGGTGTCAAAAGGATAAGCGTAATCGCCCTCCTCACTCCTCGACCACCTGCAATCGCTGCTATCTTCCTCCCGACAAGGCTTTTTCGCTCTCCTCACAGACACATACTCCGTGAAAATCTTTACCTTTCTGAGACCAGCTTTAAGGGCAGAAAGCTCGTCTTTCTCGGGGGATGATGTTTCCCCCGGTCTAGGCGAGGATAGCCCCAATGTAATTGGCTCTTGTGCAGCTATTTCTTCCAATAAACTGAGACATATCTGCAAGAAAACTCAAAGGCAGAGATTTAGATACCACAAACAACACTTTTCTTTCATCGAAACAACGACTAATACATACACAAAGCGCGGGGCGAGTCTCTGATCCATTCCCTGAAACCGCTAGGGGAATGTTCAAGCTAAACTCTTTCTCTTCTGCCCTGGCAGCAAATTCAGCAAGGTTTAAGGTTGCTGTTCCAACAGTATGAACCTTATTCTTAGCTCCTTGATTTGACACCTGAAGAACAGACAGAAATCTCAGCAAAAACAAAACCCATAACATTAATTGTTTTCATCTAGCAAATGTGGACAAATCTGAACAACTAAAATTCTAAAAAGCTTCGAACTTTGCTGCATTGCGAAAGATATGGCACATAACTATATTATCTCAGAACTGAACAAGTCAATTAATTTCTCCAACTTCCCCATTTCAACTTTCAGATCAGATGAAACATTATTCTTCAATTACTCCACTAAGATAAGTGAAAGCATAAAAATCAAAAATTTCCAAGAAAAAAAAAAAACAGAATTTAAGAAAATTAGCTCACATTGAAGAACACAGTGAAGCTAATCTCCCAGGGATGAAACGCGTTGTCTCTGGCAGTGAGATTGCAGACGTTTTGGAACGCCTCATCCCACTCCACCGAAACGGCGCCGTCCGGCCCATTCTTGACCCCTTCTTCTTTGGTGCAGTTCCTCTTCACCGTTCTCCTGAACGAGCTCAACGCAACCCTGGGCGGCCCTTTCCACCCGATCTCCACCGAAGCAGCTGCGCCGCCGCTCAACCAATCGTCTCCGCCGCCAAGATTCTCAAGCCGCCGCACCACCAGCCTCACCTCCAATTTCTTGGAGATTAACGGCGGCCATGGACGCCACCTCATCATCTTCGCCACCATTTGCCGCGCCCCTTCTAGTCTCCAGAGACGTGTATATAATAAGATAATAAAGTTGAGATTTTTGGTGGGTGTTTCTTCTCCTACGCTTTCTGGGCAATGGGTTGGGTATAGGATTGGGAATTAAGTGTGTGGTTTTTGAGATTTTCCCATTTCACGGCGAGGCCGGTGGGGAGAAGAATATGCCGTTACGTTTGGGTGAGTTTTGAAGATCTGTAACATGGGTGTTGCGTATTCATATACAGTGAGACCAGCACAAATCTCGGGAGATTATGTTCGAGGTTAGGTATTAGTTAAGGATGAGTATAGTATCATTATACTTCTCAAATTCACTCTCCATCACACAATTACATTTTTTACTTGTAAATTATTAAGAGAATCCTTAAAATGGATAGAAAGATTCAAGGAGATAATTACATGATCATAGTAATATATTAATTAAGGACGAGATTGATTATAGTTTTCTGATATTAACTCTAGACCACATAAACAGTTACTTTTAGATTATTAAAGAAATGGTTAAAATAGATAGAATAATTCAAGTAGAGAATATCTGCTATATCTTTGAGGATAAATTATCAGATAATAGATAATATTTGTTAAATCTTTAACGATAAATAATCAAATAATTACATAATCATAGTAATATACTAATTTAGGATGATATCTATTATAGGCTTATAGCTTTCTACCATTCACTCTTGACCATATACATAATTACATTATTTTTACTGATTATTATGGAATTCGTTCAAATGGATAGAGTAATTCAAGTAGAGAATATTTGCTATATCTTTGAAGATAAATAATCAAATAATGTAATTACATTGTGGAAAATGCTATTGGAAGTAAGCCAGTAATTGTTAAGGACAATAATGGGGTTTTTACTAATTGGCTCGCCCTATGGAGACTCAAGATCCCCAAATGGAAAACATTTCTTTGCAAAGCTATCAATGATATCCTCCCCACTCCAAGGAATTTGCTTATAAAGAGAGTTGATGTGGATCCAAATTGTGCTATGTGTGGATTATCTCAAGAGGACACTATGCATGCCCTAGTAATGTATGATTTTGCAAAGGCCATTTGGGGACAATCCAACATTCCAATCCCCAATATTGTGACAGATATTTTTCATATTTGGTTTAGTGGGCTTTAAATGTTCTAGACTTTGATGGAATAACATATGCAGCAGCAATTCTATATCATATTTGGAGAGCACAGATTGGAGCGATTTGGGAAGCTTTTCTTCCGCGATCGAGGACGTTACTTGCAGTAGCCACTGCCACCATGTAAGCATGGCGTCGAACCCGCCCATCTCACGACGCCCGAATGCCGCCGGAGCAGCCTGCTGCAACCGAGTCTCCGTCACTGCCACACGGACAGCTAGCCGGGCCTGCTGCTACGCACGTCATGCCACCACCGTGGGTTTGCCGTGTCGACGCTGGATTCCTCCACGACACGGGCAAGGCGACAGTAAGAGCAATTCTCCTCGATATAAATGGGGGATATGTTGCAACGTTCAGTGCACCGCTCCCGGATTGCTTTTCACCACTTATCGTAGTTAAAGGATCGGGGCGAGCAGTCAATAGAGCTATACACATATTGCCTGACACTACAGCGTTATCTTACTTCACTACCATCTACAGTTCGTTCCTACATCGGTTATGCTATTGATAGCTGCAGATCAGAGCAGCTACATCTTTGTTTTATTTCTGTTCGTTTAGATTTATACCTAGATCAGATAATTATCAGATAATTATTTAGCACATACTTTAGCATCTACAACATTCTAGCATCCTACTGCTATGTATTGGGATATCTTCCCACCTGACATTATTGCGGTTTACTTCTAATGAAATTACCACTTATTATTTTAAAAAAAAAAAAAAAAGAAAGAGTAATTCAAGTAAAGAATACTTGCTAAATATTTGAGGATAAATGATCAGATAATATAATTGCATTATGAAAAATGCTATTGGAAGTAAGCTAGTACTCGGTACTAGTTAAGGATGAGATTTATTATAATTCTCAAAATTCACTGTCGACCATACAATTAGATTTTTCACTTTTACATTAAATATTAAGAAAATCGTTAAATTAAGATGGATAGAAAGATTCAAGTAGATAATATCTCTTAAATCTTCGAGGATAAATAATCAAATAATTACATGATCAACGTAATATACTAATTAAAGATGAGATTTATTATAATTTTCTAGCATTCACTCTCGACCACATACACAAATACATTTTTTTTACTTTCATATTATTATGAAAATCCTTAAAATGAAAATAGTAATTCAAGTAGAGAATGTCTGCTTAATATTTGAGGAAAAACAATAAGATAATGTAATTACATTATGGAAAATGTTATTGGAAGTGAGCTAGTACTAGCTAAGGATGAGATTTATTATAGTTCTCAAAATTCACTCTCGATCATACAATTAAATTCTCACTTTTACATTATATATTAAGAAAATCGTTAAAGTGGATAGAGAGTTCATTAATTCATTATATATATGTTATACAAAATTATGTTTTACTCTAAAATGTTCTCTACCATGAGTAACAAATATTGGGCGATTAATTTAAGGTTAGCTACGGAGTACAAGTTATGAATGAGTATTACTTCATAATATAGTTTTTAAATTCACTCTCGATCACGTTTACTCTTTTAGATTATTTAAGAAATTCTTTAAAACGGATAGAGAAATTAAAAAAAAAAAAAAAAAAAAAAAAAAAAAAAAAAAAAACATATACAAGATTTTTGTGAATAATAATCCAAGAATTCTAAAACATTTTTTAAAAATTGTTAATTTAATATCCGAACATTTTTTTTTCCCATTATGAAAATCACCTCAAAACGTTTCGGTCAAAAGGCTTAGCTTGGAGACTTATTAACACTTGAAGAGCACTCAAAATGCAATAAATAAAGTTGATGTACTAAGTTCTCACTTCTCATCAGTCGCAACTAATAACAACCTGACATAAATTTTCTTTATTTCTTCCTGTTATGTCTTTGTTGTCTTTGTTGACTTTGGATAGAGATGACTTAAATTCCACAGCGGTTGTGCTTTCCTGCCTCAGCTCAATAAATCAATGCCCAGAAGGGTAACTAAGTTAGTGAAATATTATTTTTATTATTCTCAAAATGTTGAATTCCTAATTTTAAGAGTCCCCCACACTCTATCTCAACAGAGTATAACTCAGTTGAACACAGGAGTTAGACTTTTGTTTACAGCTAAAACATTATTTTTATATTTAAAGGTTATGAGTTTGATTCTTGTCAACATATTTTTGGTCAAGCTTGTCATACATGGGATCCTTTTACCCCGTGCACACTTTTGAATAAGTAGCTTCGAGTTTGAATTTTGTTGTCATTAAAAAATCCTTAGAGTATTATATTGGTCTTATCGACTTGCTTCCAACAACATGGTTGAGGTTTGATTCCGGTCAAAAACATTGAGAGTTTGAATTGAACTGCACGTGTATGAAAATGTGTAATTTGGTGTTTTGGCTCGATTACCTCCTTATAAATTCAGAGGTGGGTTCATGAATCTAGGATATAGTTTGAAGAAATTGAGAAATTTGGATTACTGAAATAAAAATTAATAATTATTATCCAATATGCTTTTTGAGTGGTAAAAAGAATTTACCAATTAAGTAATTAATAATGGAAGAAGCACTAAGTTACATGTGTAACACATGGCGTTGCCACGGTTTTGGGTGGGGATTATTATCATCAAAGTGTTATAATTACACCACACGTATTTAACGTGTACTATATTATATAAATATATAAAAAAAAAATTATAATGTGAATTTGTGTTTTGTTGGCAAATTAAATACAACATGCATACTTTCAAAAAAAAAAATACAACATGCATTTTATTTATGTTTATAATCACATTGTTATGTACAACATCATGGGTATACAATTTGTCACCAATAACTAATGTGAGAAATGACCCAAAGAGCATTGTATATGTTTGTAGGTTTAATTGTAACTTTTAAAAGTTTGAGTCTAATCAATTTTTTTGAATAAAATTTATAGATTTATTTGACTTTAAAAAAAAAAAAAAATACTTGTGTGGACAAATTAATTACGAACTCATCGTACGTGTGCACGTCGCTTTCTGTGTTTTATCGTTGTCATGTGTTAGCACTTTACGAAAATGTTTTTGAACCATTTATAATTTCCATGCACAGCCCCTAAAAAGACATTAACATTATAATATATAATACGGAGTAATAAATTAATAAATAATTATACTCGTACTTCGAAACCATAAAGCTCAGAGCATGCTGTGCTTGTATGTATATGACTATATGGCGTTGTGCCTACGGAATATAATAAAATAAAATAACTTATATAAATAACACAGACAGCCTGGTTATGGTTGTTCGTTGAGTTTAAGGTGTCTGTGAAAGCTTGACTTGCTATTTCTTTAATTCACCGCCACAGTGCTGTACAGTTGTGCGTTATGATTCTGTTTTGTTTTGGGTTCATTAAAGGGTTTGTTAACACAAACAGTGCTTTAAACAAGTCACACGTTTGATTATTGTTAATACTCTGAAACTCATCGCAAAAAATATTATTTTTAGTGTGATTTACTTATCATATGTGGTTTGTGGGCTATTCCATAAATATATGTTTGAAGTTGCATTCTATATATTAGTATAGTAAGTTTTAAGTCTTTAACTTACTAAGACATGTCACAATTTACCTTATAAATAACGGTCGCAGGTGAGTGAGAAGCTTCAAGGTCGAGGTTCAAGCTTTTATAAATAAAAATAAAATAAAATAAAAAAGAAAGTTGTGTACGATGATCGAAGAAAAAGCATGAAATGTTTCATACATCTAATTCACACAAGCCCAAATTATTAAATTTCACACTTTTTTTTAATGCGTTTTATCCATTCAATCTCGTACTATTGGGGTTATATACCTTGATCCAATGGCTTGGGCCCATTGGGCTTGATATATAGGAGTGATTCAAGAATCATAATGGAGTATAAAAATGGCGCGTTGTTGCAATAAAAGGAGTAGCGTAGTCACCAAAAGTCATCATTGTCCCGTGTTTGAGTTAATACTCAAAATGGTTATTGATTTTTCTTAATTTTGTTCTAAAAAATTTTAGCGACCTAATGTAGTAATATAGTCTCAAATTTTTGTATACAATTTAGTTATTCATTTGGTATTTAGTTCATTTGATATTAAATAGAGAGACAATTAAGTATTTCAATATTAACATCTCTTTATTTTTAGATCTGTAAAGTGCAAAATCCCTCTTTGTTTTACGAATTACTCCCAACCTGCATCGTTTTGTCACATACATATTTGTGTATGTATTTTTAAGGGAATTTTTGAGACTCGGCAAATAATGACTTTTCTCCCACTTTTAGTCATTATATTTATTTTTTCTCTACTTCTATTTTGTATTTCCTTAGACAATCGCATAATAATAAGAAAGAAAAAACATTATCCCATACTAGATATTACTAGCTACTTTAATAAATATGGACAATTTAAATAACTTTAAAATTTTCTAGCAATCACCCTTCATCAAAACAAGAAATGTGACATTTCTTTAAAATGTAAGATAGATAATATCAACCAAACACATTGTTTTTAATATTATAATGCAATATTACCTTGCTTATTATTCCGAATAATTTAAACCAAACTCTCCTTTTGGTGCATGCATGCAATGAAAGTTTATCAAAAATAACCATTAAGCAGGTGCACTAATTCTTGGAAATCTTTGGTAGAGCTCCCATTGGGTTTCACAGCCTCCATAGCTTCCCCTTTGAGCTTCACAACATTTTCTTTTAGCAGCTTCCCACGATCACTATCCAGAACAACATTCAAGGCCTTCAATGTCTCATCTTTGGTAAATTTCCCACCTTCAACTTTCACACCAATTTCCCACACACTCTCCACAAATCTGCTGTTTATTTGCTGATCCCCATAGAATGGGCGGCAAATCAAGCACACCCCGAACGATATTGCCTCCAGAGTCGAATTCCACCCGCAATGTGTCACGAACGCCCCGACCCCGGGGTGTGACAGCACCTGTACCTGCGGGGCCCACGGCACGATCTTCCCGAACTCTTTGGTCCGCTCAAGAAACCCTTCCGGCAGGTGCTTGACGCCGTGCGGTTTAAGGGACCAGAGAAAGGGTGCCCTTTTGGCTTCCAGCGCTTCTGCCAAGGCCACGATTTCGTCCGGCGGCGGGGTTAGGCCCGACCCGAAGCTCAGATAGACCGCCGGGGGGCTTGCGGGTGGGAGACTGTCTAGCCATGGAAGGCAGTTGTGGTCGTCGGAGATTATGGGTGGTTTTGGTGTGGCCGCCGCCTGCCGCAGGATCATCGGGCCGATGTTGAACACCTTTTGCAGCTTTGATCGGAGATCGTCGGTGACGGTGGGCTCTAGGTTCTGGAAAGAGTTTAGGACGACGGCGTTTGCGCCGGGTAACTTTAGCGCCATGTTGTAAATCATACCGGGGAATGGCGCCTGCAAATCCTTGGCAAGAATTTCTCCCGGCATTTCGCCGATTGATAGTTCTGACATTCCTGGGATTACTTTCAGCTTCTGATCCAACCCGTTTCCTGCAACGTTTACAACAACATATCACATGTGCTAATTAAGAATTCGGATGGATATATTACTACTGGAAATTATGGAATTTCCGACCACCTGAAAGTGATTTTAAATCAAATCGGAAGCAAAAAGTAGTCGGAAATAACAATAAAGATTTTTTCGGATACCAAAAGTGATCATCAACTTGATTTAAGATCGTTTTTAGGTGGTCGGAAATTTCATAATTTCTAGCAGTAATATTAAGATTTTCCCCACTTTGAAAGTGATTTTAAATCAAATCGAAAGCAAAAAGTGGTCGGAAATAACAATAAAGATTGTTTTGGATACCAAAAGTGGTCAAGACTTTCTACTTGATTTAAGATATTTTCAGGTGGTCGGAAATTCCATAATTTCTTGAACAGAAAGCTATGTTTACCGTTTGCGGTTGGAGTGGCGGCGGCTAAACTACGAACAAAATCGGTATACAAGTGGGCAGAAATAGAGCAAGCTCCGGCAGTCCAAAGAGCAATCCAAGGAACGCCGCCTCTTTCCGCCGCCAAGTCACCGCCGAACCACAGAAACGCATCCGTCAAGAAACACCCAAATTTGGTCCCCGTTTCCGCCTCCGCTTCCGCTATGGCCTTCACGTAATTACCCGGCATCGCCATGATGAACTCCTCGTGAGTGACCAACGCCTCGCCGGCGACAGTCCCATCCCACACGTCGTACGCCTTCACTTTCCCGGCCGCCGGGTTCCGCCCTCTGAACAGACCGGAGTTTGAGTCGTGATTGTTGAAGAAAGAAAACCGTGCGCTTGGAAAGGCGGCGGAGAGCTGCTCCACGAGGCTCAGTAGAGGGGCCGCGTGGGTGGCGAACGGGAAGGCTAGGACCGCTACATGGCACTCTGAACTGCCCATTTTTTCCGGCGAGAAATGGTTTTCCGGCTGTCCACAAGTTGATGACTTTCACGTTACTGGCATGGGGTATATATACACGACGACTCAGGGATAGAATGGGAAGTAAATTGACATTTTGCCATTTATATTGGACACCCTCCATAATTTTATATTATATATATATTATCGTCTCACAAAAATTCAAATTATTGTCAAAATATTATCAATATTGACTTTCATTTAAATTTTCTAATTTGTTGAAAGTAATTTTAGAAAAGTAATAACCTTTTCTCTAATTATTAACTTAACTATCTTAGGGGCCGTTTGGTTCACGGAATGTTAAATTACCTTAGAGAATGTTAGATTGCTGGGAATGTTAGATTACTAGGAATGTTAGATTCCTGTGTTTGGTTAAAATTGATGTATGTAATATAATCATGTTTGGTTTAGGATTATCTTTTATATATATATATATATATATATATATATATATATATATATATATATATATATATATATATATCTTTAAATAATTAGAATTAAAATGACAAAATTTATTAATATCCAAGGTTATCTTACATAACCTTAGAAAATAAAGGGAATTACATTCCTGTGGAGGTAATGTTTCATTCCCTGGGAATGTTATATTCCATCAGAGAATATGAACCAAACACAGGAATGTAAACTCGGGAATGTCACATTCCCTTGGTTATGTAATATAACCTGAACCAAATGCTCCCTTAATGTGTGTTTAAATAATTCTCGAGGAGCATTAAACTTTGTGAAACATAGCCAAAATTACTTCGATGTCCTTATCTTCCATTATTCTTCTTCCTCGCTTTCACTTGAATATATAGTTGAATTGCCATTATTGTTGGCAGGTAAGGAAATTGACTTTTCTAAACCACACATCTAAACTACCATATATATATGGCCGCATTAGCCTCTACGATGCACCCCAAGTTACCAAACACCTTATTAAAGTCTTAATTCGTTAACTTGGAGGGTGTGGTTGAGTAGAAGTGACTTATCCATCTTTAACTAAAGGTTAAAGATTCGTTCTTTGACTTTGGATATAGAGCAGTCTTAAATCTCCAGACGAGTTGTCTCACCCAATAAAAATGCCTACAATTTAGCTAGGAGATTAATCACTGTGTTCGATATCGTCAAATGAGATGGATCAAGAAAAAATGTAATATTAATTATGAATAAATTGTTGGTTACTTATATAAGATAACTTTGTAATGTTATTGATGTATAGTTATTTATGACAAAAAATATAATACTAATATAAATTAATTGATTGTTGCTTATGAGAGAATGTGTAAATGTGATACTTTTTGATAGAAAATGTAATATTAAACGTTGAATAATTATTAAAAAAGTTGTTTACTTATGAGATGAAATATAGGTCTGACAGATGAGTATCAATGTGAAGGTTTCATATGAGATTTTGATGAGTATAAAAAAAATTGTTTATTTTTAATGTTATTTTAATCCTAGATATAGCTAATGTTTTTAGTCAATAACTAATGTGCTTGTCACTTTTGTTAAAGGAACAAATTATCTATTGCTTAACAATGAAATTATTTTCTATGTGTGATCGTATGGGGTGGTTCATCAACGTAATGCTCTTTTATGTGATAGTGATTAACGATACATGTTTTGTTTGCCAAAAAAAAAAAAAAAGGTTTCGTTGCGGTTTACGTTGGTTAGCGTGCAACGATCGCGTGAGTGAGACCACGTGCCAACCATCGAAGCCGTGGCAACCATCCACTGATCCACCGTTTTGTCCTGTCAAATATTGTACCCAACAACTAACATTCCAAAAGCATAAAATATTATAGGCACGGACATCTATAAATTGCATGTACCTTAATTCATGACTTCAACTCGGTACAACCAGCTTGGTTGGCGTGAGTAATCGTATAATCTTTATCCCTTATGAGAGGTCGAGAGTTCAAACATTCTTGTATGAAAAAATCAGTATAACTAGTACTTTACTCATTAATTAGCCAGACCTAGTGTGAACGGAAATTAGTCTAAGTATGGATAAGCTTAAAAATATCTTATATAGTTAGAACATCCTCATAGTCTGACAAAAAAAAAAAAAAAAAAAAAAAACTTAACTCAGTACTAAATGAAGTACTAAATGAATTACGTAGTTACTTCTACATGAACAATTTTTTTTTTAAAAAGTAAGTAATGATGAAATATTATTAAATAAGATGTTCAACACATTAAGGAATATAACCAAACCAACTAAGGGGACTAGGTTGAGAACGAGTAGCCCTTGCAACCGCATGAGCTAACTTATTCACCGATTTAGGTACAAACTTAATGGACACTACTTCAAAGTGTCTTTTATAATTTCTGCATTCATCTGATGCAGCCTGCGTAGGATAGGTCTCTAGTGACACCATTAATAGCATTACAAACCGTCTGGCAATCCGAAAAAAGCATGATCCGTGAAAAATCTGTATCTTTTGTCCATGAGAGTGCAACCTATATCAATTTACTAAGCATGTGTTGAGTACAATGACATAGAAATTTACACAATACAATCACTTTTCCTACATCTATTGACACTGTACTGTTCAAAAGTACAGGTAGAAATTGATGAACATGACCTTCTCGTGTCACAGAATCCCTCATGTCTTGCTAACAATGCAACTCTCGTTGCTTCAGACTCTCGTATGATCAATACTTGTAAATCAAAACCTCAAAGACGAATTGTAGCCCCATTGATGAAGAACATACCTTGATGAGTAACATATCAGCTCCAGTACTTTACGTATTCAATCTGTGCTGCACCAATTCTCTTCGGTACATATCACGAATATATATAGCACTAAAATCCTAATAGATTAAGTATATCCCTTTTCCATATGGACAACCAAGATATGAAAGAACTGTAAATAATGAACTTTTTTTCCCTAAACATGACAGTATGAATATTTTGACAATAATTATTACCTCCAATACTCAAAATACTAACATATATAATAAAATTAAAATCTTAAAATTTAACTCTTTGCAACTAATCCCTTAAAAAAAAAAAAAACTCATTGCAACTAACCTTTTTTTTTTTTTTTTTTCCGCGAACAACACCCGTCTCATCATCCAAGATGATCTAACAAAATAACAAAGTAATTGGGGGTTCATGTAGTAAAACTCGATCTAAAGATTTGGGAGTTTATATAGTCACAAAAGTTCAAATTATTATCAAAATGATTATCAATATTGACTTTTATTTATAATAATAACAACGAGATTGTCTAATTTGTTTAAACTGATTTTAGAAAAGTAATAATTTTTTCTCTAATTATTAACTTAACTAACTTAACGTGCGTTTAGCCAAGCACTTTGTGCTCAAATGGCATGTAGTCATGACCTCTTCTATGTGGGAGGTCATAAAATCGACATGTAGTCATGACCTCTCCTATGTGGGAGGTCATGAGATCGAGCCTCAGTGTAGGCGTTGTTGACTCTTTGTGCTTCATTAAGTTGAGAAAGTATGTTTGAACAGATACTACAATGTAATAGAGTCAGTACATTCAAAAAAACTTAACGTGTGTTTAAATCATTTTCGAGGAGCATTAAAGTTTGTGAAACACTAATTACATTTGACAAACGTAGCCAATTACTTAACACTTTCACAAAAATTACTTGCGATGTCCTTCTCTTCCATTATTATTCTTCTTCTCTTTCACTTGAATAATTGAATTGCCATTATTGTTGGCAGGTAAGGAAATTGGCTTTTCTTAACCACACATCTAAACTACCATATATATATACATATATATGGAGGCACCCCTAATTAAACTATACGAACTTGAGACCTCTCATTTGAGGGGCCACAGCTCTGCCGCTTAACTACAAGATCTTTAGCAATTTATTAAAGTATTAATTCGTCCTAGCATGTTAATTTCAAATTGCACTGAAGAAATTTTACGCCACAAATTTAATCACAATAATAAATTTCTCGTCACATGAGACGGGTCATGAGAAAAATGTAATATTTATGTTGATAAATGTAATTTTAATTATAAATAAATTGTTGATTATTTATAAGAGAAAATGTAATATTTTTGAATATAATCCTACTTTACGTGATAGTGATTAACGATACCTGTTTTATACTTTTGTTTGCCCAAAAAAATAAGGTTTCGTTGCGGTTTATGTTAGTTGAGTGAGACCACGTGCCAACCATCGAAGCCGTGGCAACCATCCATTGATATAAATGAATACGTAGTTAGTTCTAGGTAATTTAATTTTTCGGTTGGTCGTTGACCATGGGCGATATCACCATTATCACGTGGCAACCAACACCTACAATTTGTCAATCAGAACATATGGCATATTTATTCACATATAATAAAATTTTATTTTTTATTTTTTTATTTTAAAAAGAAAAAGAGAAAATAAACACAAAAGACAATGACTTAAAGTTAAATTCACAAAAAAGTAATAAATAAGTATATATATATATATATATATATATATATATATATATATATATATATATATATATATATAGAGAGAGAGAGAGAGAGAGAGAGAGTATTATATTAAAATATTTTATTTTTTGGATGAAATAAAAATCTGTAGCTATTACTTAAGTGTCAACCCAATTTCTGTGGAATATTTCTTAAAGTATACAAGATGTAAATAAAGATTCTGACTTGTGAATTTTATTTTATTTTATTTTTTATTTTTTTTTGTATAAAAATCATGCTCCACCTTATTATCCATCTATATAGGAGTTATTAAACCATTTTATTAATGCAAGAAAAAATAACATCATATCAAGAAATAAAGTCACTCAAACTACAGTTGATAGGGAATATTTTCCGAGTACGTCTACATATACGTATTATATACCTACTTGGTATCAGGTCAGGTCAGCAAGAGGAATCGTTCCCGACCTTAAACATTACCGACCCGACCTAAGTGTGAAGACCGAACAAATGCTCCGTCAACATTAGACTTTGTTTAGCCTCAGGGTCGATCTCGTCCTTCTTAGGTCGGGAAGTTCGCCCTGAGCTAGACTACTTGAGGATTGAGACCCAAATTCCTAAC